GTGGGAGGCAGGCCTGTAGCCAGGATTTTGTGGCTTGTCGTGCAGATTTCCCCCCTGGTGGGGCTGAAGTTCTCAGTGCAGAAAGAAAAGCCATTTAGCCAATAGGAAGCTGTTACCTGGGTAGATCTCTACATTGCAAGCTGTCAACCACTTGAGATGATAGTTCTCAGCTGCTGCAAGGTAATCACTTCTGCCGGCCTAAGCAACCATTCTGAGACCAAGCCGGCAGGTGGGGGTGATGACTTCTACAGTGAAGAAAGCTAACCCTTAGGGAGAAAAACTTTCTGAAAGGAGACCAGTTTCTTGACACAGAGTTAGAAGGGATCGTAGAGGTCACCTACTCCAACCCACTTGCTTAGTGCGGGAATTAGTCAACTACAGCACCCCACTCTGCTTAAAAGAGCGCACGCCTTTAAAAATGTTTTTAAATGATTGAAAAAAGCATTTGCAGGCAACATTCTTGTGGGGCTGTGCCTTTAAGAAAGGGGGCCCATAGCTATGGGTCTGGTGGGAGGGCATCTGGAGTTCTGGCCCCACTGGTGGACTTCTAATGGCACTGGGTTTTGGCTACTATGTGACACAGAGTGTCGGACTCGATGGGCCCTTGGCCTGATCCAACGTGGCTTCTCTTACGTTCTTATGTTCCCATTGCTGCTTCTTTTGGGTCTGACCCTTCTTCTTCCCTCCACCCTTAGATCGATGATGTCATCGATGAGATCATTAGCCTGGAATCCAGCTATAACGATGAAATCCTGAACTACGGAGGCCTACAGATGCCAAGCACTGTGAGTTTCTCTTCTTTTTTTAGATTTCATGTTTAAGGCAAGATTGTTCCTGTGGAGGAACTGGGATTTATCGGAGCCTCCAAAGGAACTTTTTATTTGATGCAACGGACATGACTGAACAGAGGAATCTGACTTCAGGTATATTTACAAGTGTTTACAAATTACATGTTTCATGATACGGATGAAACGATAATGTAGTTGAATGCACAGGAGCTCAGGGTGAGAGAGTCAGTGGCCCTGGATAGCTCAGGCTGACTCAGAAGCTAAGAAGAAGCAAACAACCGTGGTGTATTGTGCCAAAAAAGTCTCCAAAAACTAGAAAATTCTTTTTCCAATATTCAGTTTATGCGAAGCAATTCAAACGCCATCAACACCAATGAACCATGCATACTATATCTCGTTTCGTGTGTAACTTTATCAAATTGGGTAGCGTTGAAATACAATATTAATCCACTTGACAAACTCTCTAGTAGTATCTCATAGTGACGCTCATCAAATCCATTAATGTGTGTCCACTATGAGATCATACTACTAGAGAGTTTGTCAAGTGGATTAATATTGTATTTCAACGCGACCCACTTTGATAAAGTTATACATGAAACGAGATATAATATGCATGGTTTGTTGATGTTGATGGCGTTTGAATTGCTTCCGGTAAACAATATTGGAAAAAGAATTTTCTAGTCTTTGGAGACTTTTTTGGCACAATACATCACAGTTGTTTGCTTCTTCTCAACTTCCTGTGATCTCTCTCTTTGGGTTGCAATCTCAGAAGCTAAGCAGGATCGGCCCTAGTTAGTACTTGAATGGGAGACCGCCGAGCAGGGGTCATTTTGTAGAAAAAGAGGTGCAGGAGCTCATTAGCATAACTCATTAGCATAACTCATTTGCATATGCCACACCCCCTGACATCACCGGAAGTGTGTCAGAAGGCAACACCCATGGCTCAGGCTCCACTGGACTCTTTTGGATTGCTAGCTATTGGG